TGTGCCCTGTGGATCTGAACTTGGTATTGCCCAAGGTGGCAATAGAAAAACTGGTTAGGGGACTTCTCTTCTCTGCGTGTGCATGTTAGAATGGCGTTTTCATGTTGAAACCGTCGGTGGTAGTCCGCGAAGTCGCCATGACCGAACCGTGAAGCTAGTAGATATCCTAATGCGCGTCGCCCCAGACGGGCGAGCTCAACGGTGATTTTCTAATTAGGGCCAATTCCTAGTTCTTTGTATCTAGAAGGGGCATTTTCTGCCCAATATAGTGCGACTGAAGCCTCGTATTGGGCTTTGACTTCTCTCCTTGCCCTCGCAATGGAGAGTTCTAAGTGTGGAGCTGGAGCTACACAGGCAGCTTTGGCAAGCACGTCGGCTGCTTCGGTTCCAAGAATACCTGCGTGGCCTGGGCACCATCGGATAGCCACTTTCCCAGGCGTCGTATTTTGACCGCGTGATCTTCTTTTCCAGTTCATTGCGAGCTTGCGAAAGATTAATATTTTCGCCGAGCTGGACGCTGTGGGCGTATCTAAGAGCAGATGGATGGTAGCCTCCTGATTGTCAAGGCAGACAGTGACGTTAGAGGCATAATAGGCCAGTGGGTTGCGAAGGGCTGCGGCAAGACCTTCAGTGGCCCCGGCAATTTCTGCATCATACACTTCTGCCGAGTTTCCGAGCGGGAGTGATCCTCGTCCAATCTCTTGCGTAAGACCTCGTTAGATGACATAGCCAGCACCTGCTCGGTCGTCTATTAGAGCTCCGTCTGAGAATACGAACAAGTCAAGAGTAGGTCGTGTAGCCTGCCACTATTTGAAGGGATTTAATCCCAGGAGTCTACCTACTGCACCAATTTCGATAAGCTTTTCTTCATGGGATGACGATCACGGTGGAGGGATGATGTCCTCGGAAAGTTCTGGCTAGATTCTTTGACGGATCAAGCACATGTGGCTAGTGTTCCAACGCCTACGAAGAGGATGATAGGGGTCAGCTGCAGCAATTCGAACCGCTAGACGGCTGTGAGTTCTGTTGAGCTACGTCTGAGCTGGGCCCCAGCCAGCTTCACGTAGAAGTGCTGCTATTGGTGTTGTACGGTAGACCGGGAGAGCTGCCCGTAACGCGTCGTTCATCCTATGTTGGACTTGCAAGATAATTTTTTGGGAAGTCTGTTTAGAGTACCAAGTCTCGGCCCCGTAGAAAAGGGTCGCAAAGGCAGCACCTTGTAGAGCTTGTCTTAGAAAAAGAGGGCTTATTCCTCGAGTGGTTGTGGACAGTCTTTTCATATGGCTCGTGATAGCTAGAGACTTCCGGCAAGCCTGTATAGTATGATAATGGAACCGAAGAGCACGGTCAAAAAATATTCCAAGCCAGCGAGTGTGGTCATTGGGCGTTATAGTTGTCCCTCCAATACTAAGAGTAGGCTCTAGCGGTGAGCCTCGCTTCCGGTGAAAGTATTGCAGCTCACTCTTAGGAAGTTCGAAACTAATTCCGTTAGTAAGTCCCCATGCTATGGTGCTGTCTAATTTCTCCTGGAGTTTGCGTGTACACTCGACAAGGGAGGGCGCAGACGCAAAGAGGGCAATATCATCTGCATAGCCAAAGCGGCCAGTGGAAAGACGTAGTGCCTCTTCCATAGCAAGAAGAAAAAAATTGGGGATACAGGTGAGCCCTGTGGGAGACCAAAGTGAGTTTGGAAGGGCGGAGAGATAGCATCTTCAATAGAGATTGTGGATTCCCGCTGTTGTGCCTAGACCCACATAGCTACAGTGCACAGCTCCAATTATGATGGTCACGCGACTGCATGCATTTGCTCTGTTTGCTCCTGCTTCGTTGAGTTAGTATAATTAGTAAGCAATAGTCTAGGGACTATAAGTAGAGAGCTTTCCTCCACAATAGATAGAGTAAGAAATACAGACTTTCCTCATTCTACAGAGATCATTCTCCACTCCTCTTCTTGACCTGTCCGGCCCAGCAGCACATCTGTGATCACTAGCAGCGAGCTCCCACAAATTGTATGTACACCCGAATCATAGACCTATCATAACAGAATGGCTTGGCTGGCGATTAGATATAAAGTAGTCCCCCAGCAGCTTTTTGGTGCTCTCCCTGGACGATCTGCAGTTGACCTCGTATCTTGTGTCATACACGATGTGTAAGCGACAATTCGAAACAACAAGGTCATGGCAATGGTAACTCTAGATGTGCAAGGAGCTTTCGATGCAGTACTCCACAAACGCCTACTACGATGGATGCGGGAACAAGGGTGGCCTAAGATATTATGCCGATGGGTCAAGTCTTTCTTGACAGTGCGGATAATACGTGCCAGACATCAGGACAGAACGACGCGAGATAAGGTAGTGGAGTGCGGAGTCCCGCAGGGCTCACCACTGTCACCACTCTTGTTTCTTCTCTATATTGCATTACTAGTTCAGGATGAAAACAAGAACAATCGTTTCGGATATACTGATGATATTGCGGTTCTCGCTGTCGGAAGTACAGTATTAGAGGCAGTAGCTACAGCTCAAGAAGAGGTAAACAAACTTGTCCACCTAGCTAATGAGAATATGATAGATTTTGATCCCTCAAAGTCAGAGCTTCTAGTGATAGATGGAGGACCCAAAAAGAAGCTTGATACATTGGGCCTTTCAATTATTATTAAAGGTCATGTTTTAACCCTTTCCCCTTGTGTGAGATGGCTTGGCGTTTGGTTAGATTCTCAGCTCAACTTCAAACAGCATGTCCAAGAATGGTGCGGGAAAGCACAACGTATAACTCAGTTCATACGTCAAATCAACTTTGTGCAGCGCGGTGCGGCCCCGGGGCTAATGATAAAAGCAGTACGGGCATGTGTTCTTAGTACAGCACTATATGGAGCATAGGCGTGGTGGCCAGGTGTCACGGTTTCATTACAAAATGCATGAGCAATGTTGTAGGTACAATATTTTAATTATAATTCTCTGAAGAGAGAATTTCTGTACTTAATGACTACCTATATATACAGACTGAAATACCCCTCCTCGATAAGGTTCTCTCTATGACCTGTCAACTCAGACTCTCCGACAATCGCCTGTAGATCCTTGATACTTCTGTAACCCTCATGAACTCTCAGTAGGTTTCAACAAGGCTCAATGTGAATCATCTAGGTTCCATGTCATCCAAGATCTTCCCAGGAACCTCCCTTCGTATAATTGCCTGCGCTAGACAGCGCAGGCTACAGGAACCCTTAGGCTTGACAGCCGTCACACCAGGGCTGACCCGATTCACTACCCAGCAAAATAAGAAGGTGGGTACAGGAGTCTGCTGGCATACGGATCTCCAGGATAAAACCATCACCAAGGCCGTTCGAGCGGCACTACCGGCATGGCGAACTACCCCAAGTGTCGCTCTACACAGAGAGTCGGGCATTCCACCAGCAGAAATCATCCTCCAGCGAAGTCAATTGAGAGCCGTGGCGCGAATTCAGCGAATAGATACCTGGCACCCACTGTCGAATAGATCTCAAGAGGGACCTAAGGAAACTATAGACCGTCTAGGAAAACGCGCAGGACAGAAAAGCCGTTCGTTTAAGAATCCGGAGCGATACCTCACGCGATTACAGACTAGCCTCGGAAATGTGCCGGGTGCTGTGGAGTCTGGAAAATTATTCTTCCCACTTATGAAACAAATCAGCCAATCAGCGAAACTCGACAAGCAGTCCGAAGCTACCCAGGCCAAAATTTGGATAGAGAATCTGTCAGCAGACACTGTGTGTGCGTACCCAGATGGTTCGTCCTGTGGCTTGGCAAGATCTGCATGGAGATACACTCTGTTCAGAGGATGGCAAATGATTGGAAGCGGAGCAGGACCTTTGCTTGGGGCAGAGATCTACGACGCAGAAATTTTAGGAGCCTAGAGAGCACTAGAAGCAGCAATACTGGTAGCCGGCAGCAAACCTATCAAGGTGCTCCTAGACAGCTCAGAGGCCATCCAGGCTTTGCGCAACGGAAGGTCGAGATCCTTCCAAGGAATAGTTGACAAGTTTGTCTCTGACAGTCAAAATCACCAGTCACTGGAGATTCGATGGATCCCGGGACACTCAAGGATTGCAGGGAATGAGAAGGCAGACAAGCTTGCCAAAGCAGCATTAAGGGATCTTCCAGACGAAGGAACCGACACTGCGCCCTCTACAGAAGTAAATCTAAGAATAAGATTTACGTTTGCATCACTCGACAGGTTTGTGAGAGAACGTGCGAGCGAGCTGGTGGCAGGAACATGCGCATCGACACTATGTGGACTTTAACCTGAAGATGACACGCAAGCGACCTCCAGAACTCGCTCTGCCGAGATGGGCGTACCACAGGTTGATTGCAGCTAGGACAGGACACGGTGACTTCGTCAAATATCACGAAAGATTCAAGCATGAAGATGTTGTCAGCAAGTGTGAATGCGGACGAGAAAAACGCCCACGGCACTTTGCAGAATGCCGACCAGCCGTACAGCGTTGGACAAGTATTAAGCGGGAACCCCCCCCCCGAGGGCGAGCGAGATGTTGGCAAAAGATGGATGGGAGAAATTCTTTGAATTCGTGACTATAACTAAATGTTATGGTGCACCAAATATACACCGGGAAGTCCAGGCACTCCCGGGGATCTTAAATGTTTTTCCTTTGGTTAGCTGCTGGGAAAATTAGGACAAGGCGCAGGGCGAATTTGTTCGGACCCCTTTTTCTATTTCATTTTTATCAACTATCTTTTTTTCTATAGATTCTCTGGCAAGAAAAGCCTTTCATGTTGGTAGTAGTGAGTCCGCAAGGATCACACACCCGTATCACGCCCCGTGGGTGTAGGGTGCAAGCCTGATACGACTAGAATTCAAATCAAATCAAATCAATGACAGGCACGACGTTAAATTCAATCAAATCAAATCACTTCAATGACTGCGATCTACAACCTCAGTAATTGAGCGATTACGAATTCCTCGATAATTTTAGAAATTAGAAACTCCTTTTGCACATCCTTCTCAGCCTAGTAGTACGCATTTGTCTGGTAGAAATCGCAAAATGTTTCTTGTTTTACTCTGGAAATCCCATTCTCATAAATGTCTGTGGGAGGATGTGGAGCCCTGCTACTTGTGCTTAACATGGCACATATCCGCGAATTTGTGTCGAACACTAGATAGTCTTCAATGTATTCGAGTGCTGCGAGTGACTATCAGTCTAAGTGTGGCATCTCACTGGGTTTGAGACGCCTACGGGTATAATCATAATAAGTAAGGAAGAAATCATTACAAGGCGTACTGCTGTCTCCAAAATACATGAGTTTTTGTCTTGTACCCTGGCTTTTCGCGATTTTATCTAATCGGTTCAAGATTCCGTAGTCCAATGCCTCACTATTGTAAAATCTTCCATCGCTTGCTCTATGTTGGTCTAGATAAACGCTATCGTAGATTCTTCCATTACAATTAAAAGCTTTCTGTTCCTCTGGTATGTGAGATGTTTGATACGACATCAGCCTAGCCGTGGAGAAGCTAATACTCTGGAGGATCAGGGCTACAATGTAATAGCGCATGGTGATAAATGTTTCTAGAATTGACTGGAGCGAAAGATGTCGAGTAATGGAAAGTGCAGGATCTATTGGATTCCTCTAGACCACACAGCGACGGCTTGTATATAAATACTCATTTATATCGCTCCCTCATCATATTGAAGGAATTATGAGCCCATTGTTGGAATAGATCCACTATCTAGATGTGCGGAGCTTTCTGATCTTTTTATTAATACCCTTTACTCTGGCTAACCTCAATTCATCTCTTCTTGGCCGTGCTAACGATAATTTCAAATTATCACTGGACTTCCAGCCTCTGCGCCAATTTATTGTGAATGATCGGACGATCGCTTGCGAGATATTACCCTCGATGCTGTATTGGTTTTGGCTGGGGCCAGGGTTAGTCGACATCCTGAATTTCCATTACAAGCTTCCGTCGAGTCAGGCATTTGCATATCCTACGGCTACCAAGAATATACTTTGGAACTGGGGCCTAAGTAGTGAGTGATTGACTCACTTTCGAGTTTTTCATCATAATTGCTCCGGCGAGAAAGCCGACGACTGCATGTAGAACAAATACATCTCCCACGAAACCTGGCGCTCCGAAACTCTTCAAATTGTTGAGATTATAGTACGCATGCAGCATTACTTGGGGCCGACCAATGGCACAAGGCAGGAGCACAAAGGCTGAACACCTGTCAATACTGATCTTTACGAACCTGGGACTGAAATATTCCCTCCGAACTAATGTTCAGTCACAAAGAGGCCGAGCTTGAGAGTTATCATCGAGTTGAAAACCGAGAGGAGTGGTGTTGGTGCGTTTCTGATTGAAACCACGACCTACAGAGATTTCACGACTGCACAATTACGGTATCAATCGTCTACACCAATACTACGAACCGCAGATAGTCTCAAGCCTGTCTGATGTTCGTCCTACAACACTCGACACCTTCAACGTCTTAAGCTCTCCTGGCAGATTATTTCCAGTCAAGCTCATCTTGCGGCCATCCCCGTAATTATTTCACTACCTACCATAGAGTTCCACAATACAAAGTTCACAATCAGAGTCTTAGATATATGAGGAAATCTATCTCTCAGCAACTGTCGTTTATTTTGAAGGTAAGGTTGAAGTACCGGTCTTGTATTCGTCTAAACCTCGGTCAAGGGAATCAGGAACCCGACCTGCGACGAATCGCTACCGAAGAAATACATACTACAGTACGTCGGCATACTTACTAGAGCATTTGAAAAAGGCCCAGGCACAGGTGCTTCGGTCATCAGCAATTCGACACATATACGGCCTCCAAGGCTAGGCGTGTGAACTTTTAAAGCAGATGGTCAGCGTACGCAAGCATTACTATAAGATGAGAGATATTCTTCTACATGAGAGATAACTACAATTCGATCGTGCAGACACAAGATGTGTCCTGACGATCATCCTACACAAGCACTATTGAGAGAAATTATTCTGTACGAGAGGCCCAGCCCTTCGCCAAGTCCGAATTATATGCAAGGCCAGGCACGTAGGCCAGCCCAGACGACCAGTAGCGGGTAAACCCGTCACAAGGCCAGAGGGAAGCACAGCCCGCAAAATTTGCGATTAGGTGATAATGGCCGAAGGATAGAAGGGCTGTAATTGAAGTAGTTCTACAGATTGGAAGGGTTAGATACTAGCCTTAAGGTTGATTAAGAGATAAGATGAATGTGTTTACCAAACGATGACGTCTACTGATGCTTGGTGCATAGTTAATTGTGATTAAATTGCTATTTTTCTATCTGTCCGGCAACAAGTTCCTCCAGGTATATGAAATCGGGATTTTCCGCAAGCAAGTGTGAACTACAACAAACCGTCTTATCTTACCTAAATTTTAAGGTTTTTGGAGATCCTAAAGCCAATGGATGCCGTCAGGCGTCTACTGGGTAATTATCATTCATGCCAATGAGTGATGATATGAGTTAATCATATCTGATGGCGCAAGTGCATATTATTCTAATATTAACTATTTATCTATTGAAGTTATGTTACTGCCTTGGTCGCAATAGATACTATAACAGAGGACCATTGAGAAGCCAAACAGAGGAGACCTCGGTGGGTGACCGTTTGTTTGTTTATTCATTTAGGTCCTAGGTCTAACCCGTTATCCCCGAAGAGTCAAGGACCGGTTTTCACAGCCCAAATCCTATCTCTGATAAGCCCAACTTGATCCCACCGCATGAACCACTAAACAATAAATAGATAGTTTAAAATTCGCAACGGTACATAAATTCAACCTTTGAAACCAAACTACTACCCACAAGACTATCCAGCCCTGCAGATTTCCCATTTTCTGGTCAGAAAACAAATCTTCTCGCCTTGTATTCCTTCCTGCCATATCATCTGTATGACTAATTTATATGGTCCTCGGTGAGATCAGAGGACGAATTTGTAGATGGCAACCCAAAACAGCAGGTTTCCTTAAAAAGTTTTGAAAATTTCGGGACACTTTGGCCCGGGTGGGTGACTGGATGACATGAGTAGATGCTTTAATGTTGTGATATACAATAAGGATGGGCATGTGTAAGCAATGAGACATTACGTGAACTAAACCAAGTGTGGCTAGCAAGTCACAGTGAAGGACTAGCCGAGGCGCGTGCGCAGGGTATTGGGAACACTTCTCTTGTAGGGATAGACTGTGCTGCTTCATCCCTTCATATGGATATATATATATATATATATATATGTACATTTAGATTCTAATTAATTTAATCTCCACACCTTCCGCTACCCTCAGTTCCGCAGACTGTTAAGCTCCAGACTCCAAGACGTCGTACTTAACCTCATAACCACAACATTTAACGATTCAAACCCATAACTTGACAGAAGAGAATGATTAGAGTTTGGTGAGGTTTCAATGAATTTCATCTGTTAGAGTCACCAGAGGTCTGACTCTCACTTTACACCATTCGAGCCCGTTTCTAGTGATTTCTGGAAATCTCTGGATGACTTCGTTGTCAGAGGTTCTCATCCGACTATCCTGTTGGCGTGACGCAATTGCAGTCATCAAGTTTCGGGATACTCCGTGAATATTCCAGGAATTTCCAGTTACCAGATTTGTGCTATTCCATATTCCCGGACAATCCCATCACCCTTGATCCAGTAATGCAGGAGCTACCCACCCCAGGTTGGGTGTGAAAGCCGTGGATTAGCGACGAGGATTAAATGCGAACAACCTTCATCTATGGATTTTTGATGCTGCGGGCTGGGTGAGCAGCTGTATCCGAGAACAATCGCTGGCATCCAAAAAACTACCCGGATGTCAGAGATTCTTCCTCTCGGATCAGGAAGCCAACTTTGACTTGCGGTATATTTGTGCCTAAGGTTTCAATTTTGGAACCCGCCCTGCAGCAAGATGTGATAGGGCTGCTATTTTCACGGTTTCCAAATAAGAGCGGAACATTCTGGGTGTTTGTAGAGATCACCACAATAAAATAAGGAGGATAATAAAGCATGGATAGTCTTACCCGAACTAGGGATAATGTGAGGGGACTAGAATTAGACATCTCCTTGTGATGTCATTCATGGACTTTTAGCTATTACTACAGAGTCTCCATAGCCGAGTCATTCCCCCCTCCCCTCAAAGATATGCTTCTGATGGCACATACAACGATAATTTTCCAGGAAAAGAGAAGCGATTTGGCAGTACCATACGCTACAACGGTATTCAGAGAAGCGCTCGACACATCACAACATGTACCGCCCACCGGCAAGCAAAAAAAGCCCACTAAAGCAAAGGAAGAGACTTTTCAGCTCCCGACAAAACAAGATTTCAACTCATCGACAAAATCGCTCCTTCTAAAGTTTAGTTCCGGATCCATTTACCGGGAGGTTATCGAAAGCAAAAGAGTAACTTCACAACCCCACGTCCGCAACTACTTTTTGATGCTAGACTAGGCTCCTTCACGGTAGTTACTCTCAGCCAAGACTTTTCTGAAATCCTTTCGCGACCTCTGGTTTGTCCCATGACATGGATCAGGGAAGATTCAGATACGCTATAATGCACACAAAGGTCTGCTGCGTTCAGCTGGACGGCTTCTTTGAACGCTTTAAAAGAGTTATAGGTCTTCGGATCTAGTCCTAATATCGGTACCAGGAGAGCCCCACAACCAGTGCTTCTTGAGGGGTCTCCCTGTAGCTACACACCTGCAAATTTCCATCGTCTTGTTGGCTAGAGAGGATAGGTCATGAAGGGCAGAGTACTCCTCGAATTGTATGATTGAGTGGGTGTTTGTAAGGGGTAGTACTGTATGAGGGGAGCTTTAAAAAAGGCGTAGATACTTTCTGTTGTAATTAAGGGAGTAACACGACTGAATTACAATAAACTATTCATACTAGAATATTGTGTAAATACGCTATGAGATATTATTACCTAGATCATCACTCATTGGTATGACAGAGCATTTCCCAATAGATTGGGGGACTATTCTCAACACCTGTCAGCGGTGTCCCCTACGAACCTCCAGCTCTCACTGTAGAGTCTGCAGAGCCGAGATTGAGTAACAAAGTCCTCACTTCGAAGAGGATTCCCAATCGCTTTCGCGGTCTGTATCGTCTTCATCTCTCAACACATTCCCCTATCACCACTATCATGAAGCTAACCACGATCAGATCTGATGGTAGGGTCGGAGCTCTACTCATCACCAAACCTTGATCACGGAGGAAAAGCCATCCGATGAGTTTCCGGAGCGTACCCAGCACCCGATACGGAGATGGTGGATTGGATCAAGTCGGCCTCGACTGTTACAAAGAAGGGAGATATAGATGAATATGCGCACCTCATGTGGTCCCGGTGTCTAGGCCTCGCCTGGCTGGGGCTGCAGGTTTTTTGAGACTTTTTCCCGTGCACGCAGTTTCCATTGCTACCATTTTTATTTTTTTTGGGTAGAAGGTTCCGTGGAAAAGGTGGCAGAATTCCACGGGTAAACACTGAGCTGAATGGCTATTCATCAAGGGGAATATATCAATGATCTTACAAGTAACAAAAGAG